TACAATTTCCCCCATTAGGAGACATGAGGATCACGATAAGATGGGGTAACTGCCCAGAATGACGCGGTGACACGCTGCAGGGACGATCTGTGTGGTGAAGTTGGTTATCCAGTGAAAACATTTCCTGCGGGGTCCTCTGATACCCCATAAGCGCCCCGTGACCCCCCTTCTCTGTGTGACCCCGCCCCCCTCAGGGCGATCAATCCAACCAAGAAAAGCTCGCCCTTTCCCTGCTTATCCTGGATGACAATAATACCGCCCGGCACCACCAAAACCATCTCCATCCGAGCGGAGAACAGCTGCCGACTTGTTAATGCAAATAAGAGGACCTGTCCTGTAACCCACACGGGGCGCGCAGCTGTCACTGTACAAGTACAAGTGGGGCTCCCTCGGCTCTACCCACTCCTCTCCTCTGATGTCACTGCACGCCAGGAGCTCCTCACAATGTGCATTAGAAGCCGCAGCAAGTCAGATAGAGCTCCGCCCCATTTTCTGGCTGAAGGACATCCAGCATCATCTAGCACTTTTCTCCCCAGCCTGACTGCCCCTGGCCCCGCCCCTTTTAATCATGGAATCAAAGTATTGGCCGCTGAAGGTCCCTCCGAGAAGCTCAGCCCCTTGGGCTGCCCCAGCACTACAAGGGTTAAGGTGACCCCACAATTCCCAGTGTCTGCGTTCCTCTCCGGCCATCGTTTATTGGTTTCATTTTGGGCAGCAATCAATAAGCACGGGTTCTATGTATCAATATATCTCCGATTCGCTGATCACCCCCCAACGTCACGCAAGCCGCTGATATCCTGAGTTTTGTTGCCGGGGTTTCCGGGGATCTATGGGAAGGGAATCGGAGATATCGGATACAATGTAATACAATTAGGAAGTCAGAGAGTTAATCTCTCCCCTCCCCCCATTCCCAGGAAAGCATCCCCGGCTGTACAGAGCAGGCGGCTGACAAGTGATGGCGCTCGGCGCGGCGGTCTGCGGCACATCCTGTTCCCGTGCGGGGACTGGTTGCTACGATACACAAAACGGAGAATTGAAAAAATATGTTTCTCTATATCGCCCCCTCCCCCCCCCCTTCCGGGGAGCCGCATATTGTCCCCACAAAGTGACATCTGGGGGGGAAGTTTTAAGTCTGAACGGACGCAGCGACGTCTCCTCCAAAGGGCCATTGGCTTTAAATGATAAGATGTATGGAGGGGGCGGGGAGAAGGATTCTTCTCCTCATGGATTGGTCTATGGATTGATGACGGTCCGGCGATGGCGAGGATATGCAAATTAGCAGATGGCCGTCACCCTCACAGGGTTAGTGTCACCCAGCCCACATCAGGCTGAGTCAGTCATCTCCAGAAGCCCAATGCGTTGAAGGACCAACAGGGAGGCTAAGAAAGCAGGATGGGTGGAGCCAAGCTTGACTATTAGAAGAAAAGTCGATATTTGCATATCATTTCAATGCAATCTAAAGGAGAGGACTTTGTTCTCACACCAAATTTATATGGGCGCCAGGAGCCCGCGTGTCCAATCCAGGAGCCAGCGTGTCCAATCCAGGAGCCAGCGTGTCCAATCCAGGAGCCAGCGTGTCCAATCCAGGAGCCAGCCTGTCCAATCCAGGAGCCAGCCTGTCCAATCCAAGAGCCAGCCTGTCCAATCCAGAAACCAGCGTGTCCAAATCGAGGAGCCACCTTT